TCATTATATTAAAACTAACGCAAATTACAATCATTCTATAAACGTTTCGACCGCACGCGGTCTTCTTCAGTATAATTATTGAAATATAAATTCTTACAATTCACATAATATCGAAATTTAATTATAGTTATTCAGAATCAAGAGTTTTTGAGCAATTAACGCGTGTTTCAATCCGTCCTGTCCAACAATGTTCGCCTCGATATGATCCCTGATTTTGTTCAGATCTCGGATAGTTTCATCGTTAATATGCGAGAAATTAACCCGTTCCGTAGGCGCTGCGATTAATAAACAATTACCGATCAACGTATGTCCAAATTATAATATGTATCCCCTACAATTGGTAGTATGCTTACCTATCATCGTTCTTCTTGACAATTTTGCTACTTATTAACAGTTATTAAGGATGACACATAACAAACCAACAATACAGAAAGACAGCTCATTTTAAACTCTACTTGATCGGAGAGCGTGCGTGTTTATATATGATCTAATATCTATGTTTTACTCGTTAATGTCCTATTTGTCCTATTATTATTTCTTGTTCGCTAATATATCCAAAATATCAAAATACGACTCGCTAAGTAACTCAGTATCTTTGTTTAAATTTAGTCCATTTTTTTGTTCCTTGATATGTAGCATCTCAGAAATGAGTCTTTTATAATAATTATTTTCGTTGTCCATGATCTTAACATTGTCCCAATTAAAAGTATGATGTTCATTTATTATGTGTTCAGAAATTACTGAATGTTTCGTTGAGTCCAATCTAATATTATTTTTATGTTCTTTCATTCGCGTCTGCAATTGCCTCTTTGTTTGGCCTACATAAGATGCATTACAATTATTGCAACTGATCTTATAAACCACATTCGAATTGCATGGATGTTTAGTTTTATCTTTCTGCGCTTTAATAATATTATCCAGTTTGTTGAGACATCTATACCCTACCATACAATTTTTATTTTTTACCGAGGAAACAATCATTTTTGAGATCCCATCTATATACGGAATGACAAAGAATTTTTTATTGACCGAGTCATTTCCTATACTTTTTGTTCTTTCTATGTTGGCCTGTCTCTCTATAATGCTCCCCTTAGATATGATGTGTTCTATCCGATGATTAATTTTGTTAAAAATCAGATCAAGAGGGTAACCATTGCTTCTGAGTAATTTAAATTTCGATATTATGTGAATTGTAAGAATTTATATTTCAATAATTATACTGAAGAAGACCGCGTGCGGTCGAAACGTTTATAGAATGATTGTAATTTGCGTTAGTTTTAATATAATGACTGTAGTTTTATAATTTATACATGTAATAAATGGTAGTTGACTGAACATCTCGAATATTCAGCTCGATAAGTTGGCCTTATATTTATCACTTTGGTCTAAAAAATAATATTCTTATATTATAATTAATATAAAAATACTGAAGATAAATAAAAATAAAAATAAGATCGTATTTTCCTTGAATAATATTAATAAATTTGTTGCCAATGTGAGATATTTCTCGCGATAACATTTATTGAAGCAACTATATGCGATGCACTCGTCAAAAAATATCATTGGTATTTTATAAATATATATTGTCGTTATTTAGAGTTTTTTCAGTAAAATTATTTAAATAATATCGTAAAAGCGCGAGTTTTCAATGTATTTTTAATAATAATTTTTTTATCGTTACTGGGGGCGTTTACTTCCATTTTTTCCTGTCGTATTATTTTGTTATAAGATAAAATTGCCATAAATGTATAAAATAAATTAAAATATATATAATGCTATATAAATTAACTTTTATATAATATTTTGAAAAAGAACGAAAAAGAAACTCTGAAATCATTATAACATCTGATCTATTATGAAAATATTATCAAGCTAAGCAAAATATATTGCACTTGAAAAAGCATGTTATATATCGTGAAATATGTATAAACTCAGTAATAAATTAATTTTGCATGAATTTTATTTATCTGTTTACATATTATATATACGTAAGCAATTTTAATGTATACTTTCTGTAGTAATTCTGACATAACAATTAACAATTTTCAATTAAATTATTAAATTCATTCTTCTCAAATTGGAAATAAAATCGCTTTAAATACTTGATGTAGGAAAATACGCAGGAAACATAAATTATGTTGTACGCGACTAGATCGATCGATAAATTTGGGGCGGACTCTTCCTTCATTCAAGAGAAAATAAGTAATAAAAGAGAGCGGGTCAACGAACGAGCAAGGAAAAATATAATTCGATCGCGAGATAACATTATAATAATTGGCCGGATAATAAAAACTCTCTCTCTCTCTCTCTCTCTCTCTCTCTCTCTCTCTCTCTCTCTCTCTCTCTCTCTCTCTCTCTCTCTCTCTCTCTCTCTCTCCTCTCTCTCTCTCTCTCTCTCTCTCTCTTAATTATTTTTATATACGGCAACCAGCGATAATTAAAAAATCGCTATGTTGAGACGTCGCGACGTTCTTTTCACGCGATATAGAAACTCCCTCAAGCGAGATTGCGAGACGTCAGAATAGATTTCCATTACAGCTTCCAGGGCGAGAAACTCTCTCAGGGGTAGAAAACGCGTCTCTTTCAAGGAACAGAAGCATCGTTTCGCGTAATCACGCTTTTTCGCGAAACATTTTCCCTGACCGCGCACATCATGCGTAACTCACCAGCTGAATATGTCGATTTTCGCAACAGCCGCCACAGGGATTCTCCTTTTTTTTTTACACGATTTATATATATCGCGCTCCTTAATTACACCCGTGCGCTGGGATTACCGGACCGAGGCGGTACGGATTAATTGGATTATCTACCGCCCTTGAATGCAATGCTTTTGCGCAGGAACAGGTTCGATGTTTCTCTCTGTCTAAAGAAAGGTCCTTTTGGGAGAGCTCGGCGCGATTGCGTTAAAGTCGGGGGAAAAGTCGCGATCAAAGTATCCAATATAATTTTATCGCGTGCAAAAACTCGCTATGTGATTTCGAAAGAGGGAGGGAAAAAATGTTTTTCCGCGTAGAATTTTCTTATTCGAGATAAATTCGCTATAAAAATTCAGATTTGAGATACGACGCGACAAAGTCACGCAGAAGAGATACGGTCGTGTGACAAGAAATAAGAGCCGAGTAAATAACTGCGAAAATAGAGAATCACTGTAATAAAACGATATTGGGAAAAATAAAATGAAAAAAAAAAAAAAATTGTAACGATAATAAAAAATAGCTGAAAATGTTGCGCGTTCCGGACACAATATATATATATATTTATATATGACGACTGTATACATACATATGCCATACATGCATGATGCATATGCAACATGCATATGTACATGTTATATATGTGGCGATGCAACAAAAGGTTTTTACACATATATCCGCCGAGCTCTCTATTGTTTGTATGTAATTTTGTAATCTTTTTTAACTTGTTTTTCTGACAACGCAAAGAAGGGAGAGAAAAATAAAATGTGCATTGTTGCACGATTTACGCGGTTGTTTTATTTGGTAACATAATAATTAATACTAGGTAATCGTCGGTATATCCTCTATGAATGTCGTCGGTGCGTTACAGTAAATAGTCCCTGGCGTTGTTATCGCCAGGAATTAAATCAATCTCTTGTTCTATTAAAAGCCATCTCGAAAATCCACGCGACTCGCCAACGAACGGTGTTCTGAAAAGAATGCAATATCTCTGCATTTTATTAAAATTTCTCGAAAGTTATGAAGCTACCGCGAGTAATACGTAGCTAATCTCGCGTAATGAAAATTTTTACTTCACGACCGACAAAAATAACTGCAAGCGTTTATATAAATCGTATACCTATACGCATCTGCCTGTAATTAGTTTGCCATTTTCGAAACAAAGAAGCGCATCCGACGTGCTCAAAAAGAGAACGCGGAGTTAATGTTTGAATAAAATTATGTGCGCACAAAGAAAGAAAAGAAAAGGGAAGAACGGATTCTTCTTATATTCTTTCAAAACAAAGCGACCGTCCAGATTTTGTTTGATCAAAACAACTCGTTTCATAATTCCAAAAAGAATTTTATCTTATATTGTTTTCGCGTCTGTTTCAACTCCTTTTCTGTCCTGAACTTTTCGTTCAGATCATTTAATATATTTTACATTTTTTTCTAGTAAAAGTGTAAGATTGTAAAATTTTTATAGAAATATATATCGATAGCTAAATATCTAATCTATTTCTTAAATGTTTTTTTTTGTTTGTTATTCCATTATTGCATCAAATTTATATAGTCATTATATATATATATATATATATATATATATGATCAAAGAATTAAATGTAAATATTTATTCAGTAAATAAAAATTAAAAATTTTTGAAAAAATACAATTCTTTATACATGCATTAAAATAATGATATTGTCAAATACGCGACTCTTTTTCTTTTCATTCTATAAAAATTATGGATTCGTTTTTCTTATCTTCTCGTTGTTTACGTAATTTTGGCGTTGTTCCGTAGAGCGCACTTTACATTAAAGAGATAAAGTAAAATAAAATTAAAATAAGTAAAATAGTTTACATGATGGCGTAATAATACAAAATGCGCTTCGCGCAAATGCCCTCGAATTTAGATCAGATATAACAATAAAAATACGGAAAAATCAAATCTTTTCAGCCCCTTTCGAAGTCGTAAAAGAAAACTGCATATAATATTCCTACCTCCGCAAATTCACGATTACAGCCGGTTTAGGGACCCTTAATAATAAACATAGTTCCGTGCGATTTTGCTCGACGCGAAACTTCATTTAATTCCTTAATACTATCTCGCGCACATAAACCCCCGGAAGTACAGCTGCTCGCGCTCTGCGTTTCGATTTCCTCGCCGTGGAAATTTCTCGCGCGCGACACACACACACACACGCAGCCAACAATATCGGAGAACGAGATCTCGACTCGCAGCGTTTGTTTGTGCATAGGCTATTAGGCTAGACCGTCCGACGGCTGTTAGCGGCCACCGCGAGGAATTAATTAATCCTTTCATTAAAGCCGCTGCGGAAGACCACACGGATGCCGACTGCCTGATCGTGGTCGCAATGTCACACGGTGAGTCGGGTCTATTACATTCGACCGATAGCTTGTATCCAGTCGATATGCTCTGGACTCCCTTCACCGGCGATCGATGTTCCACTCTGGCCGGGAAACCAAAGTTGTTCTTCATTCAGGTACAGCTGACATTATATTTGATATACGTATTTATGTGCGTATACACAGGGTGTTTCCCTAAGGAGGAATTATTGGTTAATGCAGAAAGAATTTTCTCTGTAAGAATTTATCCTGAAAATTTTAATCGTGGGACAATCAAATAATTTATTAATTTAATATAATGATAGAAAATCATCCCACGGTCAGAGTTTCAGCGGAAAAATAATTAAAAAATAAACCTATGAGGAAGAGCAAAATTGTAGAAATGGTACAAAAATATAAAGAAATAAAAATAAAAATTTAGAGGCTCGTAAAATTAATCGAACATATTTTATATTTTATTATGGTAGATATTAATATTTTTATTAAAATTATAAAATTTTTCCAATACCATATTGGCCCATGATTATTATGATTTTCATGCAGAGTAAATTCTAAGAGAAAAATTCTCTCCGTGTAGGACATGATTGTACACATCATTTTAAGTAAAAAGGTTTATATAAATAAAAATGTGTTCTATTCTGGGTAGTCACACAGATATAACGTGTTCGATCTTGAGATCGAGAATACTATTTTTTCTGAAACACCCTGTATATATAGATTAGAGTTATATATATATATATATATATATATATATATACGTTTGAGACACGTGATATCTGTTAAATTTAACAGAAATTTTTAACGGTGTAATTTTGTTAATATTTTGTTTCCACAAAACTTAGTTTCCAAAAAAGCCTTAATTTTCAACCGCTGATAATTCGAAAATGATTGGTGTCTCGACATTTTCGCTGAGGAAAAATCGTCTCCGAATGATAGCAGAAATCTATCTTTTCCGCCAGTTCTGGGACACTCTGTATAATATGAATCGCGAACAATAATGAGCCGCGTGCGTTCAAAGAGAAGCAACTCTCCATTTTCATTCATCCCGGACGATCTCGTTCGGTGATGGATCATCCCGAAGTGAATCGTTCAAGCGGCGTTACATGCTGAGTAATTCGAGGGAGATTTATACAGATCGCGTGGAGAGTGATTTATGAGTTAATATAAGCTATTGTTACAAGCTGGTGTTTGTTGAAGTTAATCGTGTCTTTCAAGTGGACGGTTTATGGAATATCTCTCCGATGGTTTCCCTTCCTGACGATGTATTACGGTATCTCGCGAAAGCAGTTCGGACTGCTTTATCCCTCTAAATATTTTTGTTTGCACATTTACGCAAAATTACACTTATTTTTATGATTATTTATTCGGATTCATTTTGCTAAATGCGCCGGGAAACTTTATATTTTCGTACGGCTCAAAGGCCGTTTATCTACTTTGGATGAAACGAATCCTGTAGACTGATCTTTATAATTCTGGCATTGCCCTGCGTTTACGTTTTTCGAGAAAATCCGACCGTATTTTAGCGACATTGCCACTAGAGAAACGAGGGAGAGATGGAAGAGGAAGAGGAAAAAAAAAGATAATTACGTTTTCCGGTTAAAAATTTTGATATACGATATTCTTGCGCGACAGATATAAATTCAGTTTGTCAGAAATGCGATCCCGCATACTTGAAATATAACGATAAGAGATATGTCCGTATCGGTTGTCCTAAAAAATCACTTGTCCGGAAAAACGAAAACAATTATACTCTGTTTTGTGTGAAATTCGACATATAGAGTGAACTCTATCGCTCTTGTCTCCTACCCTACTTTATCAATTCCAAATAAAATGTAAAAAAAAATTGTAAATATATATTTCGATGCAAAATTAATACCTAATCAAACCATCACATACCAATGTTCAAGCTCGTATGACAATAAAAACAATGATAAATTATTAAATTAAGGCCATGTGTAACGAGCAATACGATATTATTTTATTATTTAGAAGAAAATTCTTAATTTGAAATAATAATTACACAAACGTTTCGAGCTCTACTTGCTCCTCTTCAGTGCGCAAAAAAAATAATGATAATAAATAACGATAATAAATAAATACATACATAAAATTCTAATAAAAAATCCGCAATACATAGTCAATATAAGTTATATAGTTAAGTCATAGTTAAAACGCAAAATATATTTACAATGAATTGAAACCATTAAAATAGTTCAACAAAGTAAGAACCCAATTAGAAGCAGAATGATTCGTCCGGTTATTCATAAAATATTTTAGAATTATTAATAAAAACTCGGAGTGACACTTATACATTGCTCCAAACGAACCACTTATCGTTATTTGACGAAAGTCACTCGATCTGGCAATGATTATGTCCATCCTCTCCAAATTATTTGATATTTGTTAACTGAATTTAGAGAATTTATTCAATTGTAAAATAGGATTCCACTAATGTGTATGTAAAAAAAGATTAAAAATTACAAATTAAACTAAATACTAAAATATTGAACCTTTATGCTTACAAATTGTTCCGAATAACTTGAGATGACGATGCTTCTAATTGTTGTTGGCCTTATTGTTAGTACTTGACTGTTGTCTAGTCTTTTAAAAAGTCGAATAAATAGGTGTCAGATCTCACAAAATAAACATTTACATAAGTCAAAAATACATAAGTACAAAAATACACAAGGAGAATACTCCATTTAGAGTAATTGTGTCATCGATTAATACCACGCTTTACTCGATAGCCACATTTTTACATAAAATCATTTCAAATAGTATTCCTACGGGAAAAAGTAATGTAAATAATAGTTTTGAACTTTACAGCAAGCTAGCGGGTAAGAAAATTGGTGCGGAAGATATTCTAATATCATTAGACGTGGTTTCACTATTCACTAACATTCCGATAGATCTTGCAATAGAAAGTGTGAGCAATAGATGGAATTATATCAATACACATACATTAATTCCAAAAAATGAATTCATTTCCATGGTTAAATTTATATTGTCGTCAACATACTTCACATTCAATGACATTGTATACAAGCAAGTTTATGGCACACCTATGGGTTCCCCGTTATCGCCAATAATTGCTAATATTGTTATGCAAGATCTTGAAGAATCAATAATTAATGAATTGGACATTGGTATTGGAATATATTATAGATATGTAGACGACATTATTATGGTGGCACCAAAGAATAAAATTGATAGTGTACTGAATAAGTTTAATAGTTACAATCAACGACTACAATTTACGATTGAATACGAAATTAATAGAAGCATAAATTTTCTAGATTTAAACATTAAAATAATAAAATTTCACTTTATTAAAATAATAGATAACGTCATACACTTAGATTAGTTTCAAAAAAAAGACATGTTCAGGTAGAGTACTATCTTTTTTATCGAGTCACCCTATGTGCCATAAAATAGGAGTAATTTATAATCTTATTAATAGGGCATTGTTATTATCTCATCCCATATATCATAAGAAAAATTTAGAACTGTGTATTAAAATATTATTGGACAACGGTTACCCTATTCATTTAATCTTTAAAGAAATAAATAAGAGAATAAGAGTTTTAAACAATGGTCAGTTTAACAACAATAGAAAAAAAGAAATTACAGAAGATAATAGCAAGAAAAAATTTTTCGTCATTCCATACATTAATAACATTTCTGAGACAATAGCATCGACAATAAAAAAATCAGATTTCAGAGTAGGATACCGTTGTCTAAATAATCTTAACAAATTAATTAAAGTCCACAAGGACAAAAACGTGCATAACAATAATAATAATGTTGTCTACAAAATTAATTGTAAGGATTGTGAAGCTTCGTATGTTGGGCAAACCAAAAGAAAATTACGCACTAGACTAAAAGAGCATATGAATAATATTAAATTTGATTCCTCCAAGCATTCTGTGGTCTCTGAACATATTATAGATAAAAAACATGCTTTTGATTGGGATAACGTTAAAATACTTGATATTGAATCTAATTATTATAAAAGACTTATCTCGGAAATGATACACATCAAGGAACAAAGGCATGGTATAAATAATAACACAGACACCGAATTGCTTAACAACGCGTATTTCGACATTCTAGAAGAAATATCGAATTTTTAGACTTATGTAAATGTTTATTTTGTGAGATCTGACACCTATTTATTCGACTTTTTTAAAAGACTAGACAACAGTCAAGTACTAACAATAAGGCCAACAACAATTAGAAGCATCGTCATCTCAAGTTATTCGGAACAATTTGTAAGCATAAAGGTTCAATATTTTAGTATTTAGTTTAATTTGTAATTTTTAATCTTTTTTTACATACACATTAGTGGAATCCTATTTTACAATTGAATAAATTCTTTAAATTCAGTTAACAAATATCAAATAATTTGGAGAGGATGGACATAATCATTGCCAGATCGAGGGACTTTCGTCAAATAACGATAAGTGGTTCGTTTGGAGCAATGTATAAGTGTCACTCCGAGTTTTTATTAATAATTCTAAAATATTTTATGAATAACCGGACGAATCATTCTGCTTCTAATTGGGTTCTTACTTTGTTGAACTATTTTAATGGTTTCAATTCATTGTAAATATATTTTGCGTTTTAACTATGACTTAACTATATAACTTATATTGACTATGTATTGCGGATTTTTTATTAGAATTTTATGTATGTATTTATTTATTATCGTTATTTATTATCATTATTTTTTTTGCGCACTGAAGAGGAGCAAGTAGAGCTCGAAACGTTTGTGTAATTATTATTTCAAATTAAGAATTTTCTTCTAAATAATAAAATAATATCGTATTGCTCGTTACACATGGCCTTAATTTAATAATTTATCATTGTATATATTTCGATTTTTTTATTTATATATTTAATATTTTTTTATTGAATATCTTTTATTCAATATTTTTTTATTTATATATTTATATATTTAATTAACTATATTATTAATTGTGCTACAATTGAACACATTAGATACTTTGTTAACTCGTTATAGTTAAAGACTATCGATATTCCGATAAGTTTAGATTGCGTTTCCTCGTAAGGGATTATAAATCTATTATTTCGACATCCATTCTCTCTATCCGCTAGATATTTCTCATCGATTCTCGCACGCGGGCGAAGTTTTCTTCTGAATTTCCGCAATTACGCGAGAGACAGGAATAGATGACGTGAAATAGATGATACCAAAAATGGATGATCGCCGCGGCGAGAAAGAAACTCACCTATAAATATATATTTGTATTACACGTGCAGGCAAAGTGGCACTTTGTGTGCGTGTTTTCTGTGCGGAAAGCGGCCGATTTCCCACGCCGCCATCTAGCGGCGACGCGATGAGTGAATAAGCCGCATTCAAAGCCATTGCCTACGGCTGAGCCGCGTTCAAAGTCATTGCCCACGGCTTTAGCCGTGGACAATAACTTTGAACACGGCTATTCCCGCACCGTGCCGCCGCAAGATGGCGGCGTGCGATCGGTTACCTCGCGCACAGAAAACGCGCACAAAGCCACTTTGCCTGCACTTGTAATACAAAATAGTATGTGTATCACGTGCGGATTGACAATTGTTCACTTTCCGCACTTGATACACAATATACTACTATACAACCATTCAACTTCCCGACGATGAACGAGGAGAGAATGGCATAATTGCGCGGACGATCTGTAATCTGCGTCTCAAAAAAAAAAAAAAAAAAAAAAAAAGAAAAGATTAAGTCAACGTGTAGTTGCGCGCACATAATTCCGGTAACAATGCCCCGGGTCGGATCTAATTCTTTCCCGGGTATATAATCCAGCCAGGAGATCGTTTTCCATTTAGAGACATTCCCCATTTATCTGCCTCACGGCAGATCTCCGAGGGATTTGCGGACTCCTGCACATTAGTGCACCGTCGGGTTTTTAGCGGCCGCGGCCAATGAAATATGTGCATTCTGCAATGTAATGGAACCTGTTCGCGCTCTAGGACGCCGCGCAGTAATTAAGATTACTCCCCCTCCTTCTCCCCCGCGTGACGCAGGCGGTCGAAAGGGAACGACAGCAAAAACTGTTATTTGCATAATTCCCAAAGTAATGCACGCGTGCATCGTTTCGAGGATTTTTGCCGCCGGGCGAATTAAAAAATGCCGAGCGACAATTCGCCTCGCGCAATATTCCACGTATTTTTGTTTCGCGTTTCTTTTCTCCCTTTATGTGCATTTTTTTTTCTTTTCGTTTTTCGCCCGCGATAATGCTGCTTCCATCGCTTGCTCCCTCTCTGCACATTGTGCGGATACATTTTTTTATGCGCAATGTTCGGTCGGATACGCGAACATTTTAAGCGGACAATTTGAAAACACGCGTATGCACATATCCCTGTGCATATAGATATAGATATGTCATTATCACGTGGGGCATTTGTATTACCCGCGGCATACATATTCAAGTAGAAGATACAAGCAATTTCGCGTAATTTCGCTACGGGAGAGACATGAGCTATAATTTTATACAGTACATTCCATTTTTACCAGACCAATTTATTACTGATCGTTACGTTTACAATTTTGCAACGAGAATTATGCACACGCGCGCAGAACGATTTAATTCCTCAACTTGCCGCAATAAAGATGAAAAATGACGAGCGCGATAAAAATATTTCGTGCATTATCGGAGAAAAGAAATTGTTCGTTGTGTTTCTCAAATTAGGAATGATACAGGGTGTCCGGTAACTAACGGACCAATGATTAAGGGCGGATTCTCTGGCCAATTTGGAGACGATTTTTCCTTAGCAAAAATGTTGAGAAGTCAATAATTTTCGAGTTATAAGCGTTTGAAAAAAATGGGTTTTTTGAAAACTAAACGTTTTGGAGTTAAAAGTCTAACATAATTACATTCTTCAGTTAATTTCAGGTAGAGTTTACTATAATAAAATTTTAATTTGAGACTTAGTTATAAAGATACATAATGACAAATATTGGAAAGTTGTAAAAAATTATGACCTTTTTCGACATTTTCGCTGAGGAAAAATCGTTCCCAAATTGACCAAAGGACCCACTTGTTATCGTTGGTCCGTTAGTTACCGGACACCCTGTATACGGAGAGATAATTGAAAATTGACACTTAAGCGAGAGACATCGCCCGCAGTTTTCGCATCGTTAAAAATCTCTGATCGATATATCGAGCAGAGATAGCAACCATTCCGGACAACGATTGTAATTTACTTGCCATCGAAAGAAAAAGAACCGGAAAAAGCCGGCCAACTAGCCAAATACTCTTTCGAAATTACCGCTTTCGTCTCGAATAGAGTCAGTGATCCTGAAGATCCTGGAGATAAAGTGTGACAAGGATAAACGAGCACGATAAAGTTAGCGTCGTAACGATCGAAATGATTAGTAATTTAATCCCGTGTCTTCAAATGTGTCTGAAAAAAAAAACACTTCCGTTTCGAAACTCTAAGAAGATATTTAATTATTCACGCGACTCGATCTCTCGCAGAGACTCGTACAAAAATATCCAATCAATTGTGTAAAATGTAAAAAAAAAATCAATATCTTCTTGCAATATTTTTAATTTGATATTTAATATTTAAACAAGATTAATTGCATATTAATGAGTTGTTGAATATTTGTGTGCGTTTGCCTCCCCCTGGAATCAACAAAAATTAAGCATTTGTTCTCTCTTTGAATAAACGCTGCAATTTACTCGCACATTAAATATAAAAGAATAAAAATGAAATAAAAAATTAATTTAAAAAAAATGAAAAAAAAATAAAAAATTAAAAAAATATATATTTATTAAAAAAGATATATAAAATTAAAAGTACTCTAATTCTATGCAAATAATTTTTCGAATCAATCCCCTCTTCCTAGAAAAAAAATCCCGCTTGTGTAAAATTTGCAAATAAACACAGTTAAAAAATTTCTGTTAAATTTAACAGATATCCCCACTTATATTATAAAATAGAAAATCAACACTTTTTTCCACAACTTAAAAATAGATGCACATTGTATTATTTTGACATTTTTTCAGTTGTTTTAATAATTTAACATTTAAGTTCAATTAACAAAACAGTAATATGTTAAATTAACACATGAATGTGTAAAGTATTTAACACAAAAATTTGAACGGGGATCGTTTTTAACAAGAAAACACCAATTTTTCCACTGTGAATTATGCGAGATTATCGCGATTTGCCGAAGCGACGTAAATCGAGCGAACATAAATTTCGAACCGCGTTGTACATCCGTATATATAAATCCGTATCGAAATCGGTGCCAATTTCTGGCCGCTTGAAAGCTGCGTGTAGCCTCAAGTAAGTGGACCCTATATATTTCTCTCGGCTCTTCCGTTCAAGTCTCTGTTCGTCTTTCCTTTAACGACGTTGTAAACATCGATAGATCTGCGTGTAATTGTCTTGTATTTGTTCCACTATCGGTTGCAAAAGAGAAAACAATCTTAGCGCGGCTTTTCGCGGCCATTAAACCATTTAATCTTTCCATAAATTCAATAAATAGCGCTGCGGGCGCTTCCCATAAAATTGGGAAATCATTTTTGAACCTTATCGAGGTTAAATCTGAATAAAATCCGTGCGATTCAACATTGTTTTATTATCATAAATAATATTGAATTTATTATCCATCATATGAGAATGCGAATATTACGTACAATGAATTAAATCTGCAATGTAGAATAATCAGATACAAGCTTCTCGTTAAATTTATGCGTCAATATCGTGTCGTGTATAAACATTACAAAAGCTTCCTGAGCAACGCATTCGTCTATATGCGAAATACAAAAATAAATTGCGCGGATAAGAATTAATTAATGTTGCATTATATACACTAGAAAGAAACGTACATTCAAAAATACTCAAAAATAATAAATCTAACAATCCATTGTTTCCACATGTTTGTCAATTAGATTTGTGATCGCACGCTGGTTTGAGTATTAAAATCGAAATCCAAATATCGGGGAAGTTAAACAATTGCAATAATTGCGTTTAATCAAGTTTCATGTTTACGTAAATACCCGTGAATAAACTGATAACGGTCCACATATCGATTTTTTTATATTACGAGAATTTGCGCAGGGCGTGGCGTCGCGATATAAATTAACCACTCCATTCAATTACACGTGAAAATAAATTTGGCAAAAATTACGACGCTCAGAATCTCTCGGATATCGAGAATGCTGGTTAATCGCACAATTGTGCGATATGCGAAATACGGTTTAATAACGCTTTCGAATCGAGTTATAGAATTAAAACGCTTCGAAACGTTTAAACAATTTGCGAAGAAAATCCAGCGAAACCCATGCATCTTTTATTCGACGAGAAAAATCTAGTATTGTGTGCATTTTTTCTCTTTTTCCTTTCTTTTCTTCAGGCTTGCCGCGGGTCGCAACTGGACAAAGGGGTGAAAATTATTCATGAGACGGATAGCAAGAGAACTACATACAGCATTCCCGCTTACGCGGACATCATGGTCGCATATTCCACTTATGATGGTATGTATATATGTATTATATATGCGTGTGACACGTAAGAATATACAGAAGGTTTCAGAACAGGTTGATCGGAATTTTGAAGAGCGACTTTCCACTTTATTTTGCCTCGAATTTCCGAAGGATTATTTTTTACATATAGTTCAACAATTTCTGTTAAAAACAGACACCGCACGGTCCACAGAAATTTTTGTGTTCATTTAACATAAAATGGATATGTTAAATGCGGAGACAAATATTGTGTTGATATTTTGAGTCTAATGTACGGAGGATCTCGCGATTATATAAATATCCTAACTTCAATTCTGAAATTTGGGATCCAAAACTGAACAAGAAAACCGTGCACACTTGAAAAATTTGTGTTAAATTTGAAAGATATATCCCAAACGGTCCACAGAAATTTTTGTGTTGATTTAACATAATATGGATATGTTAAATGGAGATACAAATATTCTGTTAATACCATATTTCAACACAAAATAAATGCAAAACTTCAAATAATTTAAAATAAATTTTGTATAAAATTAACATCAACATTTTTTTCTGTAAATTTTAACAGACAAATCTTGTCACTAATAAAGCAACACATATTTATTGCGTAAAATTAAAAATAGATACGCATTGTGTTATTTGGACATTTTTTTCAGTTCTTTTAATAATTTACCATTTAAGTTCAATTAACAGATCAGCAATATGTTAAATTAACACATGAATGTGTTAAATATTTAACACAAAATATTTTAACGAGGATCATTTTTGACAAGAAAACACAAATTTTTCTATTATATGTAGAAATTTGAACGACAATTTTGAGTCACTCTGTAGATATATGTAGCGAGAGCTAGATGTTGTCGCGTACAAGTAAACCCCTTTATTCAAGACAGGGTCTCCCCCGAGATAATGCGGAATCTGAATGAAAGGAATGTCTCTTTGAAAATAGTAGGTACGAGACGCAGAGTTATAATGTTGGATATATGATGATATTCTTAATTATTCACGTATAAAAATAATCAGATTGGCGACTGTATTTTTCCCCCGATATACGATAATTTATTCCATTTATCGAAATATAAATATCAAAAATTTAAAGGAGCATAAAAAATTTAAAATAATTAAAATAAATTATTAAAAAGCATTAAAATAAATATACTCAAGTTTTTCATAATAACTAGACTTGGTGATTAATATTAGAATTAATCATTAATATTGTATTTTATATGTATGATCTCTCTTCTCTACACTGAAAAAATGACTAAATTAATGCATATTTAGTTCAATACCAAATGAATAATTTATTTGAAACAAATAAATATTTATTTGTTTTGAAATTGATTTTCTTATATAAAATAAACATTTTTTATATCAAATAAATATTATTAGTTTGAAATAAATACTTATTCGAATTAAATAAATTTGTTTTCAATGTATTTATGTTGTAAAATCAAAGTTGAAGTCATATAAAAGTGTCGATGGTGCTGCATTAATTAAGAGAAGATCGCGATTGAAAAAAATACCGCGACGATTATCGCTTGAATGAAGATATACAAATAACGAATGGCCTCATATAAAGTGCTCGCTAATGAGATTGTTTACTCAGATTTTAACCCTTTAGGTAACCATCGTTAGCGCAGATAACGGGGACCTGCATTTGCAAGGATATGCGATAAATCAAACAATCCCCCGTAGAGATGTTGGAAAATAATTCAGGCTATCGGGTTTGCGACACAAAACTAATAAAGACATCTTCTGACTTCGAAAATCGATCAGCTTTATTAGAAAGCATCAATAATTTTGCGCAATAAAATATGCAAAAGTGTCGTAGATTCAAATCATTAAATTACGTCAAAATATCAATTTATGAAATATTACAAAAACCGATATCTACTCTTGAAATAATCTCTCTCAAAATAAAAAAAAATTCTTATTGTCAATATCTAAAAAATTTTTAATAATTGCATATTAATGCTATATTCGAATTTGAGAGAAATAAAATGTATGTAATTCTGTGCGAAAAACTGCAATTTTCTTTTGATTTATTTTCTGATATTTTTGAAGAAAATATTCATCGAGAGAAAAAATATTTATATAAGTTAAATGTTTATTAGACATAAATTCACTAAGAAAAATCTATCTTTAAATGTGACATCGCAGATTCGAATAATTTAATTACAATGTCGAAATATAAAAAAGTGTTACGAGAATTAATGATGTGTCTTGAGATGATGTTCTCCTTTCTCAAAATTAAAAAATTCTTATTATTATTATAAAATCTAAAATAATTTTAAATAATTTTATATTAATTAAATTATAATTTGAGAAAAATAAAATATATGTAACACTGTGTGAAGAACTACTATCTTTCTTTTGAATTATTTTCTAATATTTTTGAAAGAAATATTTATCGAAAAAAAAGAGATCTGTATATAAGTATAAATCTTTGTTGAGGCACAAATTTATCAAGAAAAAATCTATCTGTAAATTTTACGTATTGTAGATTCAAATAATTGAATTAACAATGTCAAAATATAAAAAAGTGTTACGAGAATTAATAATGTGCCTTGAGATGATGTTCTTTTCCTCAAAATAAAAAATTCTGATTATTAAAATCTAAAATAATTTTAAATAATTTTATATTAATTAAATTATAATTTGAGAAAAATAAAATATATGTTGCAATTTAATTCGACCAAAAACTGGCTATTCATTTATTGAAAATAAGTACACAGTGTAATGTGTGTACTTATTTTCAATAAATGAATAGCCAGTTTTTGGTCGAATTAAATTACATCTTATTATTTGTGAAAATTTTATCACTGGCGATCAACAATTAATTGTGAAGATAAAATATATGTAACACTGTGTGAAAAACTACGATCTTTCTTTTGAATTGTTTTTTAAATATTTTTGAAAGAAATATTTATCAAAAAAAAGAGATCTGTATAAGTAAGTTAAACTTTGTCGAGGCACAAATTCCTATCTTTTTGAATCCGTTATAGTGTAAAGATGTGTCCTGTGTTACGTATCATCCCGACTTCTATATTTCTTTATATTCGCCTTCCCGAAACAGCTGGCAACGCGCGAATATGAGCGATAATTGCATTGAAACGCGTTTCAAGCCAGTTTTCATACTCCGTCGAGTGTAAGGTATTAAGTATTAACGAGACGTACCTATATACCATATATAAACTCGATTGCTGAACAATAAACGGATATGGCAAATGCCGAGTTAAGCGGTCCTTCTTGCACACGTTCATTTCTATAGAGTCGGATAAGCTGCTTATTTCTGAATATTACAGATTATATTACGAACGTAGACGAACGCGCGCAATGCATAGGTAATCTATGTCAATTTCTTCAATTATGTACATCCTGCCTCTTCCCCGGTTAAAACTCGTTAATGAATGTAAACCAATATTATTTGCAACTCAATGCCAACCCGGTGCCGAGCCTGAAATTTCCAATTATTATACCAATTATTGCACTCTCACGCCCTATATCCTCCGCAGAGCGTTTGATTACCGTGGTCTATAATTCGGAAAACCAACTCGCGGATTTCGTGGGAAAAAAAAAAAAATCAACGAAGGCGTAGACGGCTACTTTCGAAATTCCGAAACGAAAATTGTTAGACGCGACAACATAGGCGCATAATAATGCAACGCGTACATTTTCGCGCGATTATTCCGCCCGCGAGCAAACATTTGACCTGCACTCGCTAATGGAGTGCGAGAATTTGTGTTGACAGTGGTGCAACGTCGGTGACACAACAGCGCGAGCTCCTCCAACGTGAGAACGTCAATCGATACACGCGCGTAATACTATCGGGGGAAATATCGAGCTATATTATATCGAACGTATACATGTAATCGAAATATGATGACGACCACCCTTTCGAGATTTTATTTAAGATTTCTCGCTGTTCCATTATTTTTATATAGAAACGAGTTTTCGCGACAATGTGTTATCCGGCCCTCACAATATCTATATAATAAATTTTCAAATAAATTCGTCCCTCGGAAAATTTAATTTAAAAAATATGTGTTATTTAAATTTTTAATAATTATAAAGTTATTTGTAATAAGTAATAATTTTGCATAATTTTTGAAAATTATTTTTAATAATTATTAATAATTATTTTCGGATTTATCAGGAATTTGTTTTTCACAGATGGCTTCATCTTAAACTAGATCTCTTTTCTCTCGATAAATATTTCTTTGAAAAATATTAGAAAATTAATCAATAAAAAAGCTCGCGTAGTTTTCAACCTAATATTAGATTATATTTTATTTCTCTCAAACTTTAATAATTATTAATAATTATTAAAAATTATTTTAATTATTAAACTACGCGAGCTTTTTATTGATTAATTTTCTAATATTTTTGAAAGAAATATTTATCGAGAGAAAAGAGATCTAGTTTAAGATGAAGCCATCTGTGAGAAACAAATTCCTGATAGATCCGAAACAATGAAATTTCTCAGCGATTGCGTTCGCGAAATCGTGTAACTATTTCTTGTATAAGATACGTAGAGAGCACTGTCCAATGAATCGAAATAAACCGCAAATTGTAGTACGAATATGTTTGATATGTTTCAATGGGAGAAAGAGAATTCAGAGGTTTTTTTTCAAACGTCGCACTGAAATGTGTAGAATGGTTTATCGATATTCACAATTTATATTACTGCATTTATTATTGTCATTATTATATGGTTGCTACGGAAAACAAAGGCGCGTTTAAATAAAAAGGAGCTATCTGTGCTATATCGATACAAAATAAATATCGGCATTTTGCAAAGAACGAACCGCAGGCTGAATACCATCCGAGTTCTTTCATATGACTATTTTAATACCGTTCGGACTGTTGGTAGCCAAGTTTCATACATTTTTTATGCCTTTCATTCATTGCCTTTCACACATGTCGATGTATAAAACAGTACATCCGTTTTTCTTCAATTTTGTAGTCTTCTCGCATATGTATATATATATATATATATATATATATATAAATTTGAAGAAAAACGGATGTACTGCTTATATATATTTATTAGCTGGCAAACGAG